GGAATAGGACTTGTTGATGCAATAAATATTGGAAAATCTGCTTTTTCAGTTTTGATCTTCTAAGTTTGCATTAGAAGCAGGAAGCAGTGGTACATACGTGCAGGGTGATGATGTAAATGTTTGGGCTTGTGTGTGTAAATGTTCCTGTTTGAAAGGAGATATTTGCATTTCATGTTTCTTAGAGCTAGTTGTGTCGTACAACAGTTGTGTAGTTGTAGTGTAAAACTTTGAGTCTTAAGTTTTGTTTAAAACTTTGAGGGATTAGAGGCTTACAGCAAAAACACTTGTGTAGCATAAAAAGAAATTCTGGAACCTATGGAAGAAATCCATAACCTGCAGGCAGGACAGTTCAACCTATGTTCAGCTGTTCGGCAATGGGATATGAAATATTTGTTGTCCCAGAATGTTCTCTACAATAAATTTTAGTTCTTTTATTGGGAAAGTACCATTCCAAATGTGTGATGTTGAAATTCTATTCTCATGACTAAGTGTGTAACCACTTATTTGGCTTGCTTCCAATCAGAAGTGTAATGAAAGAAAAAGATGAGTTTTAATAAGTACATGTTCATATACACAGTTGCATCTAACATACAAAACTAAAATTATTTCCTCTTTGAAATTAGATGTATTAAAGTTGGGAATAGGTGTGGGAGGGTTAAGTTTGCTGCGAAGTTGTCATTAGGTCTGCACCTCCTATTTTATTGATCTCTGGGATGTAGGTTTGTGTTTCTAACTTGCGCACTTTGAACTTAGAACCTGATTTTTCTGTTCTTGAGAACAGGTAATGTTTGGGGCTCAAATTCAAACGGTAACATGCAGAAGCAATTTATACTTCAATTTCTTGGCATTAATGAAGTGTACTGTTTCAACATAAAAGTTTAGACTAAATCAGAAAAATAGAACAAACTTCAACGACAAACGCTTTCAGCTGAAAGGCTTGTCTTCCTTTACTGACTGACTTAAAGCAAGCAGGAATTGTAACAGTATAACCTATGTTCTCTCTCCCTATTAGATTTAGATTTTTGTACATGAGGGTAGATGTTGGATCTCGCCTTTCTGGAGTGTAGAGCAAGTGGTTGTAAGTAGCAACATTGGAGAAGTGTGAGTGATGGTCTGAAGACGTATTTAAAAAGAAGTTGTCCTACAGGGATACTTTTATTTGTTTGGGTTGTGGGTTTTTGTTTGTTTGTTTTAAACCTCAGAACATCATATTACTTGGTGAATATTAAAGGAAACTGATTTATGTTAAACCAAAGCTGATTCCCTCATCATTAAACTGCTCTTGGAGCATAATAGAGGGTAATTTCAGAGCTTTATCTTGCACCCTACTGGTGACCTCACGAGCAGCTGTATTCCTTCTCATTAAAGACCAGTAGAAACACACATAATACTTACTAACATAAGTAGCTTTCCATACCTGTGTATTTTTTCATCCTGTGTTCTTTAAATTAAAAAAAAAAAGGACAAACTTTGCTCGGTTTGGCTTTCCACACTTTAAACAAACCATAATCCTTTCTGCTCAGCTAGCTTTTTTTAACTTTCTTAGTCATGGTTTCAGCATGTAGCTTCTTGAGCTGTTGTATAATGTTAGCAGACTTGGAGCTTGTTGGGCTGATAAGCACTGCAGTCTTTTCAGAAGAACTTACAGACTTGCTTAGGGATCCTGAATATCACCACCTACACTTTTCCTGAATGTATATAGGTGTGCATAGAACAAAAGTTTCAAGAGAAGTAAGCAAATCCCTTGGTAGGCTAGGTAGAAAGCTACACCAAAACCTACTTAGATTTTTAAAGGTTTAAGTGAAATAATAAACACTTACCAAATGCCAGAACTGTTTGCCTGTGCAGCTTTGAATTTAATCCCTAAGTACACACAAGCATGTTTGAAGATAAAAATTTAAAAATTAAAATTATTTCCCTCACAAGACTGCCTCAGTGCAGGAGGTGGACTTGCTTTAGTGATCAGGTGGAGTGTGTGTAGGAAGGATCTCTAGTGTTTCCATAATCTGGGCTTCAGTTGTTGCAGGAGGTGATGCTTACTGAATAAAGACATGAACAGAGAAACAGATGCTGTCAGTGTTGAGCATGCTGCCTGGAACAATTGCACTTCAGTGCTGCTTTTGCTAAGTAGTTGCAAATGGTAATTAAGATGTTTGTATTTCACTTAAGACTAGTCATGGTTCTTTATTTCATGGTGGTTAACTGTAGCCTGATTTGTAGAAAGTTGTGGAACTGCTTTTCGCATCTGAAATCACTGGAAGCTGTGTTGTGAATATACGAGTGTTTATAGGCAGATGCGTAACTGGAAAAATTGAGCTTTACAAATTGGCACACAAATTTAGTGGGCTGTTTTGACCTCTTGTGTGTTTAGCCTAATCCACCAGAAAAAATCAGGTTTCATGCTGTTTTGTTAGTGTGTTTCACTTTCCCAGTACTTCAAGGATGAGAGCTATAAAGAAATCCTTGATGAACTTAGACTGTGTATTAAACCTCAAAAGAAATTTGTAGAATTATGCTGAAATACACTGAAAAGGATGTATCATCATGGTTAAAATAACAAAAACAGTTGAGGAGTGAGGTGAAAGGGAGCAATCTCACAGTTTTCCTGAAAATACAGGAAAGGACTGGATTGGGGATGTCCTTAGCTTTTGACATGTTGGTAATGAAATGCTTGTAACTTTAACGTTGGTCTTAAAGTGCATCACTTCATGTAGCTTCTTAGCTTTTGAAGGAAACAACAGTTTGAAGTTTTGTGTGTGGTACTCACTGGATAACCTGTGGTTCATGGAAGGAATTAGACTCTTGATCCTTGTGGTCTTTATTGCTTGAGCTATGGCAGTATTACGCAGCAGTAGTGGGTTGCTATAGGTTACTGTTCCCTGTAGACCAGCTTTAGAGTCTTTGCTGATAAGTTTTGAAAGCTTAATAATGGGAATATTGTAACTTGAAAGGTGCTTAAGTGAACATGGACCACTCTGCCTGTGATCTTTTTGCCAACAAAAAGCATTGCTCCCTTAGTGTGTGTGTGGGGTTTGGTGGGGTTTGTTTTTTTGTTTTGTTTTGCTTTTTTTGGCTTGACAGCAATCCTTGGTTTTCTCACTCCTTTTTTTTGGCTTGATAGCAATCCTTGGTTTTCTCACTCCTTACCAAGTTGTGACTTTGCCTTCAAGATTGTGATTCTTCTCTTGTACTGACTTCATGTCAAGTTGTGTGGTAGTGTGTGTGTTTTTGGTTGTTTTTTTTTTCCCCTTCTACTTCACTTCCCTGCCAAAACCTATTTTCTCTGTGATCCACGCACAGGACAAGGGGTAATGGGTTTCAATTGAAAGCGGGGTGGTTTAGATTAGACATCAGGAAGAAATGCTTCATGGAGAGGGTGGGGAGGCACTGGAACAGGTTGCCCAGCGAAGCTGTGGATGCCCCATCCCTGGAAGGGTTCAAGGCCAGGCTGGATGAGGCTTTGAGCAACCTGGTCTAGTGGAAGGTGTCCCTGCCCATGGCAGGGGGGTTGGAACTGGATGGTCTTTAAGGTCCCCTCCAACCCATACCATTCTATGATTCTCTCTAGTGCTCTGCATTCAAATTAGTTAATAGCTTCCTTGGTTCAGGGGGAAGACTCTGGGGTTGTAGACACAGTATAAAGCAGACCAGATCCAAAGTTGTTGAGACTGTGAAGGTTAGGGAGCACAGATGGATTTGGGGCCTAATGTGTGGAAAAATATTAGACTCCCTGAGTACATATAGACTGCTTTTTACAGTGTTGCTTTAAAAGTGAACAAACCTTTCTTTCGTTTGTTTGGGTTTTGAGGGGTTTTTTGTTTGTTTGTTTTTGTTTGGGGACTTGAAATAACAAAACCACCAGTCATAACAAAGAAGATATTTTCACTTCGTCTCGCCCCCATGCTCCTCCAAATCATAGTGTGACTAGTCTGAAATGAGCAACATGTATCCCCTGGTGCCTATGGGGAAAAAGAAAAAATCAAATCTGTTTGGCCCTTGAGGAGGTGTGATGAGGTTAACCTCAACCCTACCTGTTTGGCAGAAATTATAAAATTAAGAAGAGAATATTATGGTGAGGAGTGGAAGACAACCTTTTCAGGTGGTCTTTCAGACTTCTCCTTTAATTATCTATTAAATGAGATACAGGTTGAGATCAATCTTGTCTCCTTCTGCCCTGTGTAAATGGAAGAGATTGGGATATCCAACTGTTTTTGCAGCCTGGCTATTTGGATCTGGGCATTAAAGAGAAGTATACTGTTTGTTCAAGAGCACATCCCCCCCATGCCCCAAACACCCAAGTTTTTACTAATAATTGTGTGTTGTGATCCTGTCTTGAGGCAGGCTGTTTGAACAGTCAGTGCATAAGCTACTTTTGTTGTTGAAAGTCAAGTTCATTAAGTTGGGGAGGGTCAGGGGGAAGAAAGGAGTCTTAAGTTACTGTGTACGTAACTAGGATGGGTTCTTCTTTGACCTAAAGTCTGTCTTGATGCAGCAGCACAAGCCAGCGAGGAGACTGTCACATTTCGTCGTGAACGCAGCACATTTAGGCGTCAGGCAGTACGACGCCGGCACAATGCAGGGAGTAACCCTACCCCTCCTACATTGCTCATCGGATCACCCCTCAGGTAGGGTATCTAAATGTTCCACCATATTTAGCATGCATGCAGCAGACCACTTCTCCCCACACCCACCAGTGTTGCCAGAAAAGCACTTTTTACTTCCCTCCCCACCATAACCTCCTTAAGCTGTCACTGCATGTCACTGTGAGCTTGTTGAATTGTGCATGTATATGTGGCACTACTTTCAAAATGATCAGGACAGCCAACCTCTAACATGTTACAGCTGCTTTCAGAATGATAACAAAAATGAACTAATGCTAACAAACTTAATCAGCATTTTTAATCCAAAAAAACCTCAGGAACTTTTACTTTCAAGCGAGGGGAAAAACCCAAGAAAGTACTATTCACCACACCTCATTCTGGTTTTCTTTCCCCTAAGAAAGTAAGCATTAAGGACTAGTGCTGTAATCACTTTTCACATCTGTAGATCGCGAGAGATAAATGTAACAAGAAATTGGCAGAACATCATAAAGAGCTAAATCCTATGTGCAAAGGTTCTAAATCTAAAATACAGGTGAACCACTACATGAGCATCCTGCAGCTTTTTACAGCAAAAGAGAAATAATGAAGTAATAGCAAAGCCTTTGTTCCAGAACACAGAGTGTTGCTCAGTATTAGATTTAATTGTGTGGCACTTGGCGTGCCTTGGTCATGTTTAAAATGTACTGTGTACGTGTATCCCAGGAGTCTCCAACCCTCACTGGCCCATTCGTTAACAATACCAAGCCCAGTGATACGTTACATACAGCACGTCGGTTTGGTCTGTAAGCTTGCACAGTAGAAGCAGCAACCGCGGTGTGTTTAAACTTGCTTTTTAAAAATATCTCAATCCTGTGGTTGACGATGGTGTTGGAGAATCTGGCGAGCAAAACCTTGCCTCTAGAGGAAGGAACACAACACCCCCACCCCCCCCACATATCAAAGTAAAGTAATTCTACTTCCAGTCACACGATAAATATGCAGGAATAATTGTATATGTTGTGTATTAATGATCTTCCTTCACATGCTATCTTTCAGTAATAGGAGCAGTCTGCTTTTGTGTTTGAGGAATACTTGTGTGATTCTTTTTTTTTTTTTTTAAACTGGAAAAAGCTGTAAAAACTGAGCGAGTACAAGAAAAACACTTTACAGTAGAAGACGGAGGAGGAGTTATGCCAGCTTTGTGGCACCACTGAAATAAGCAAGGGCTAAGTTTGTAAATTTTCCTCTGGCAGGAGGGTTGCAAGAGTGGTACCTAAAATGTAACAAGTTATGGCTTGACTTCTACCACATTAAAGGCTTTAACTATTTAGATGTGGTATTTACTGTCAAGGGCAGTATGAAGCAGAAATCACATTACTTTAGGTAACTTTTTGTTAAGCTTTAGGTCTTGATGAATGTAGCTTGTTCAACTCAGTGATTTATTTTGTAGTGAGGGACACTAAAATTTTGCATTCTCTTCGATCACTTTTGCTCTACTCTGTGTTGCATTCACTTGTTTCTGATTTTTTTTTCTTTTTCTTTTTTAAGGAGGGTAGTGTAGTTTTGTGAATTGGTCCATAAGAGGCTGTGCAGACTAATCAGAGCTCCTTAATCATAGAATGGTTTGGTTCCTTTTTTTTTTTTTTTTAGCCAGTTACTACCAAGTTCTTTTTAAAACATCGCTGCAACTGTATTGGCATTACTTGTATAAGCTAGTGGTGAGCTGCCTCGGTCTAGTTCCTGATATTGCTAATCCATATGACTTCAGATGTTAAACTTCTAACAGCATTAGATTTACTAATCTTTAGTTGCCCTGATGTTGCTTCTTTCTTATTCTTGCCAGCAAAACTTTAATCTCCTAATCTTCTAATTCTGGCATAAAATTGGATGTCGTGGGGATGTTCTCTTAGAAGCTGTTGTGTTCAACCTACTTTTTTTAATTTCCTATCTATTATTGCAATTACTTTCACTTCCTTTGTGGAATGTTTAATAAGAGACAATGATGTTACCTATGTCTGTGTTTGGCAATGGTAGGCAAGTAAAACCTAGTCTAGTAAATTCTGCTGGTTTGATGCTGAATTAGACATAAAAGTACTTTGCTTTGTAGCTTAAAAAAAACCCAAACCCAACAACACACAAAACCCAATCCAAGTAACAAAACAAAATCACCAAATCCAAGTAACAAAACAAAACCACCCCAGTAACTATCCCACCCCCACCCCACCCCTGCCTCAACCCCAAACCCCCCAAACCCACCCCAAAACAGCCAAGCACCCCTGCTTTTGTCCTGCCTAAGTGTCAACAGTGTTTTGGGCACTTTAAACATAAGTATGCACGGGCATCCTATATAGTCAATGGTGTATGCATGTATGTCTGATATGAGAACGTAAGTGACTGTCTGGAGCAAAATTTTACTTCTATAATTATTAATTAGGCAGAGAATAAGTACCTCTTGCACATCTGTGCAATCTGTTAATCTTTTGGGTTTTTTTATTGTGACCAATATGGATAACCACGGAAAGGGCAACTTTGTCTATACCTTTTGACACATAGCCACTGTTTAAGGGAAAAGAGTATCATGTAGCATTGTTTTGGTATTGCTGATAATACTTAAGGGAGACAATGAAGGCTGGCACATCTGTGAGCTTCCTTTAGGGCTTTTGTTGCCATGTAGTTAGCTCACTGAAAGCTTTGTGTACAGCAGCAGAACACTGAGTTTAAAGTTCAGATTAAAAAAATGTTAGAATACGATAAATAATGAGTTGAAGTTTTTTTTACCTCCTGAGCTGTGTGCATGTCTGCTTTATTTTGCATGAGCTTTTCTTAACACCCATTCTTATACTTCTATCTATATTTTATTTTCAAGTGGTGCGTTACCAGAAGCACTGAAAAGTAAATTTTCTAGAAAATACTTTTAAAAGCAAGTATATCAGATACAACCCTTTAGTTCTTAGTAAGATCTTGCTTTTTTCAGTTGCTTCACTTGCCAACTGTAGCATCACACTGTAAACAGGGAAATGTTAAAAGCAACAGGTGATAAAGATTTTTTTAAAAAGACAGCATTTAAGATATTTTGCCATAGTCTTTAAAATATAAATTCTTCTATCTAAAAAAAAATTTCATCACATCCCACAGTTAATGACTGACACAGAACAACTTGAAACGCACTAAATAAACGATATTAAAACCACTAATCTTGCAAAGTAGATGTGATATGTAAGTGTAAACGTCATGTATTCTGACACTTTGCCATGCATCAAGCCATAAAAAAAAATCTAACCGTTAAATAGCGTTATAGAACAATTTTGCAATGAGAAGCCTGTGAAGAGAACTAACATTTTCAAGCATTATTTACTCATACAGCTGTAAACTTGCAAATTCCTCTGAAGCCCAAGTTGACTTTTAAAACCTGGTTTTTGGCGCAGGTGTGTGAATGGGTATAGAAGAATTTCTTTGTGGTAGTAATACTGAGTAATCAAGTTTCTGCTGAACTGTCAGTAACTCAAAATAGACTTAAAACATGCCAATTAATGATTTGTTATAAATGTTCTTAATATGTTCAATAAAATTCCAAATCCAAATGTTTGGCTACAGTTATCTACCAGGTCTGTGATAGCATATGGCTACTAACAAAGCTTAAAGGTGTTTTCTAGCTAGAGTGCAGGTCAATAGCAAGAAAGTAATGTTACTGTGATAAAGTAAACCCCAATCGGCCAACTAAACAGTTGATCAGGTCATGCCTCAGTGCGCAAAGAGAACGCTGACTTTCCCAAGAAGACTGAAACACTCGCCACCCTGTGTAGGTGGTACCTCGGGCTAGTCTACACAGTTGGACTAACCACAGGTAATTTGATTTTGCACCCACAAATCAAGACTTGTAAGAATACACTTGAAGGTGTCTTGGGGAGATGTTAGAAAACAATGCGGCTTCTAACAGGAGGACAGGAAACGACCTCTTGATTGTTGACATAACTAGTGTCCAAATATTGTCTTACACAGAAGTCATGGGTTATCTTAACCCTAATAAGTGGCTTCTTAATGCTGTACTCTTAAGTTGTCCTCTTCAAAAAATCCTGTTTTGCTTCACTTCTAGCTATTTTTCCTCTTCTTCCTGGTAATGTGTCCCCAATGCATGTTTTCTTGTAGCCTTCAAGATGGTCAGCAAGGCCAGCAGCCCTCCTCCCAGGTCAGAGTGCAGTCCTGTCCCCCTTCCCAGGCAGCTGTGCTGGGCGCCAGCGCCTCCTTGCTGGTGAGAAATGGGAGTGTCCACTTAGAAGCATCGCAGGCCACTGCATCTGCTGTAGGCGGTAGCAGTTTGCACGATGAACTTGGTACGCAGGCCTTATGTAACCTTGGTGACACGGACATTTTAATATGGCAGATATGTCTGTAATAGCGCGGTGAAAACCAGCTAACCTTAGCTTGCTTTCTGAATCGTGGAGGCACGTTTCTTAGAAGGCCATATTGCTCATAAATTCCTTGCCTTTCCAGGCACTTTCTCCAACAAATGCACAATGGGAGATGCTCTAAGGATGCGTAGATACAAATAGTGGTGGTATGAGAGCTTTCATGACTTGAAAAGTGTAATGCTTGTAATGCAGAAGTTTTCTTGTGTTGTCACAGATAGTTGAGCAGAGATTGATACCAACTTCGAGGAACTCCTGGTTCCTGAAAAAAATACTTGTTATGGTCCCTGGGAATTCTTGATTTTTTTTTTTTTAAGATGAGTCTTGCTTAGCTTCTGTTTATAAAGGAAATCGTCATGTAAATGAGTGCTTTACTTTTCATGAATGCTTTAATTTAGGAGCTTGAGATTGGAAGAAAATCTGTACTCTTTCTTCTATCAAATGCCATTGTTTCATGGAGCCCTATAATGCCCCTTAGTTGTTCTTGATCCATTTTATATAGTGTTTGTAACTATTTATTAACTTCTGTGCAGCTAATAAAATTGCTAGGGGGAAGGAAGTTAAGGTGATGTAATAAGTGACTGATCTCCTGTGACACGGTAATGCAGCGGAAGATGCCAGGAAAAATTCCTGGCAGGGCTTTTTGCAGCTATCTATATGTGACCTGAATTACTTATGACTTCAGCATTAATATGGAATTATTCCTCAAATTATTAAAATGGGCGGCTTCAGAACTTACAATTACTAGTGTCAGTATTTTGAGCAGTTGTAATAACTTAAAAGTACAGGGTAGCTCAGACAAAGCATTTGTTTCAGACCTTACTGTAACCTGGTACTAAAAGACAAGTGAATTGTCATCTTATTTCACTAGTGGGGAAGACTTTGAGTTGCCAAGCTGTGGTACCCCTTTAAATATGAGTTTGGCTAACAAGTTGCTCTTCTTCTGCACCATCTAGCTGCAGATTAAAAAATGAATATAGGTAAAACTGAAAACAACCCTGACCTTGTCTGAGGTATTTTATAAAAATCTAACTACAGTTGTGCTAAATACATATAATCTAATTAACTGATAATTTTTTTGAGTCTGTGGCTCTACTAGTTTCTAGATAGAAAAATAGACACATCCCAATGCTTGTATGTGTCTCTGAACTATGAAATTTTATCACATGAAACTACAGATTTCTTTATTTACTTCGGGCTCTTATTTCTTGGTTGAAAAAATCGGGGAATGTAACAAATTTGGGGATACTGGTTTTATCTATCCAAGCTTAATGTTGAGATTTATTCCTAAAGCCACCGTTATTGTAATTAGAGGATTTTGTTCATCTTATCCAAAATAACAGAATCAAGTTCTATGAAATCCAAGTTTTAAGACACAATCTAGTTAAGTCTGAGTTGCTTAAGTACTTATATTACTATGTTGGGGTAGAAATCAAAGCAGATAATTTAATGTTGTTGGTTTTGGGTTTTGTCTGTTTTGGGGTGTCTTGGTGGTGGTTTTTTGGGTTTTGGTTACTTTTTATTTTCTTTTTACTTCTCAAGTCAGGGATGCAGTAACAGTCCTGCTGTTTCCCTTTGAGTCTAAGGCTGTTGGTTTTGCTGTGTGGTTGCAAGACACCTTGCAATGAAAGATGACCCTGTTACCTTACTGTAGGTTGTATGTGGTTTGGGGGTAGGGGAGGGTAGTAGTTTATTTTTTCTTTAACTTTTATTCTGATGCTGATCAAAGCAGTGCAGGTGATACGACCAATTCTTTGTCACTCTGGAAATCTCTGTGACTGCCCAGGGCAGAAAAAATATTGAGAAGAGTGGCTGGGGAAGAGATGTGGAAACAAAACCTGATTTGCAGCAACTGGAAATAGGAATGACAAACGTGGTAGATAGGGTTATATATATCTCTGTACCATGCATGTAAGGATTTATTTTCTTACTGAAGTTCTTTTAGCATATTCTAGGTCTTCCAGAAGCAAAACAGGGCATGCGTGAATTTACGTTAAAAGCCCCCACATTTAGGACTGTGTTTTATGTGCACCAATGCAGTAACGGTTTCTACGTTCTTCTATCTGTGTTGCTGTTAAGCTGCAGCTCTTAACAAGACACACAATTTTTATTTTTTTGTGTGCTTTAAAGATTCATGTCTGTTAACTTGATTCTGGTGCCTTATTTTATGAAGGATAAGGCTTACTGTATTACACCTAGCCTATGTCTGGTTTGGCGACTATGCAGTTGTCTTTAGGCTTCAGACTAAGTCAAGAGACGCTTTGAGGTGTTATCTTAGCCTTCCAGGTTTCAAGTAGAAAGATTTTCATCAATTATATTGTTTTGTATAGGGTGAGGGAGAAGGAACTTGAAAGAATGGAAAAGGAGCTAAACCATAGAATCATAGAATCACTAGGTTGGAAAAGACCTTAGAGATCATCCAGTCCAACCGTATAACGTGGAACAGTAAACATGAAGTAAATCACAGGAAGATGCTGGACAGAAAGGAAAGGTGGCAGGACCAAATGCCATAATTATAGGCAAGATTAATGGAATATGAATCCAGAAAGCAGAAAAACTCATAACGTGACTTGAGCGGCAGTCTTCATAGCACAGTTTGGCAGTACCGGTGCCTTTTATTCTCACAAAGAGGTGATTCTCGAGACACGTAGGTGATGATGGGTGAGATTTTTTTCAGCCCTTGCGGTGAAGGCTGTAGTTGTTACTATTTGTGAAGTAGTTAGGAAACCGGGTACTGAGTTACTAGAACAGAAGCCCAGTGTTTGAAGTGGGTGAAATAACAGCCTCTTGTCCTCAGCTAGATGATGGCTTTTTAGAATGTGGTTTTGTTGTTGTGGTGTGAGTTGAGTTTGTTTGTTTGGGTTGGTGTTTGATTTTCTTTTCAATACTGGCTTTATGACTAAAGAGAGCTGGTCATCTGGAGCTTTACAATACAGTTACACTGCTGTGTTGGACTTCTGGTTGTATCACATAGGTGAGCGATAATATTTCCAGTTTATTGAAGTATTTTAATTTATGAAGGCAGGTCTTGGAGATCAAAACTTTCTCTAAATGTAAATATACACACTGATCACTTACTTGATTAAAATCAATTTAGAATCAGTTCTTCAACACCTTTTTACAATTAAGTAGCCTTAGTTTAGTTGGGATGAATGGGGAGTATTTTTAAAGGTACAAGTAGAAAATGAAAACTCACTTTCCATTGTTCCTACTGAAAATATCCCTGTTGTAGTCTGTGGAATTCTTCAAAACAGGTAACTTACTCTTTTGACAGACTTCATATAGAAATAACAAATGAACTGCTTTGAAGTATTCTAACTGAAAACTTAGAAGTTTTCATACTGTAGCTGAAGGTAAAATTTTGACCTTTGGAAATGATGGCTCCTTGCACACTACAGAGTATTCAAATTCTGATGGCTGTGCTTTCTTTGCTGACTGGGATTTAAAAAATGTCATAAGTAGTAGATGAATATATCTTTAATGATCTAATGATGATGTAGGCTTCAGTATGTCATGAAGTGTTAGCAGTTTTCAGAACTAGTTTGACAGGTTTGAAACGAGGTAGTATTTATTAGATGGGAAACGTGCTGAAAATAACCTGGCTGAGGAAACCATCAGAGCACCATTTTAGTTGGATCCCGAGCCGCTTCAAGTCACATTAGGTTTCATCTGTGCAAGCTCATCAGCCTGTTGCTTTCACTGATTGCCGTAACTCTGGGGACACCAGTTCATTCAGAGTGAAACAAGGAAACTTGTTTCAAAGGAATTGTATTCATCTTTTCCTCTCCATGACAGAACAAAGATATGTTTTGGATTTGTGTGCCTTGATACCAATGACTTGATTTTGTTAGTTTTTGTAATCTGGTCCAGTTAAAGTATTGTTTGGGTGACTTCAATTTGCTAAGAACCCACAGCTCTCCCTTTGAGCCGAGTTGTGGGAGAGAAGTTACGGGCGTTGCTGTTTAGTGGACAAACATGCTATTTGCTGTATTTCTTGATTTGAAAAATCAACTTTTGAGCCTGGCATTCCTTTACAGCTTGATAAAACTACAGTCCTCAGAGAAAGAAAAAGCTTTCTTAAGCTTCTTCAGTGTGATGCTGTTGAAAATATTTCAGAGAATGCTGTGGGAGAGCTAGGAATTGAAAGGAGAGAAAGTTACTAGGGTAACTAAAAACACTAGGTACATCCATATGTATTGAATGTAGTGGGCGTTGGGGTCCTTCGTTAAAGTTTGAGAGCCCTGGGAGGAAGCTGCTGTTACCTCACTTGGTTTATGAAGTATTTAATTGATGGGACTTTGGAGCTCAGCTGTAGAATCTCCAGTCACACCTTAGGATTTGCGTCCTCAACAGCACTGAATAGTCCTGTCATCTTTTCTGCTTGGATGAGTTGAGGCTTTGCTGGAGAGCCTTTTGATTTAAAATAACAAAACCAAACCACCACCCCCAGACCCTTACAAAAACAAAGGGGGAAGGGGCGTGCGACTTTGTTTTGTTAAGAAGTCATGCTTTTCTTGACTGAGCGCTAACTTTCAGTGGGAGGGAACTAAAGGTTGGGGGAGTGAATTGCAAGTATGACAAAACCTGAGCCTGTTTTGTAGTGTGTATGTAAACAACTGGAATTTTTTTCTCTGTTAACCGGGTTCGTTTTATCCCACCATGGCCGTGGAGTTACAGCAGCAACACAAATGCACCAAATCTTGACAGATTTAAAGATGAGTTGCATGTGAGGGAACTGTAGATATTTTCTAACATGAAAGGCTTTATGCTATATTTTTTTTTTTGGTAGTCTGAGCCCCTTCTCAGCCACTTGATTGTAACAGTTCAGTGAACTTCTTTTGAAACACAGAATGGAAAAAGAATGAAAAATTCTTACGGTCCAAAAGAATGGAGAGTTGTGTCTTGCAAGTAGTATATTCTAATTTCTGTTCCTAGAATTTAATTAATTTAAAATCAGAAAGTTTAATTTCCAAGCTCTCAATTCAGGAGTGCAAAAACATGACGAATGTAACTCAAACTCACTTGTCTCTTTTAAGGACTGGTTGCATGGAAGACGTTTCCATAATAAGTTATGCATAATTTTGTCCTGACTAGTATTTCTAGTGTATTGTCTAATAACTTTGTGTTTGCTGTTGAAATTTTTTTTTACTGGTGCAGTTGAGAAATAGTCCTGTGTAACTGAGGTTATTTATTAGCTGTGGGGAAGAGTCGTCCTGATGTCTTGCAGCAGTTTAAAATTTAAACCTCTGTAACAACTGTTTACTACGCAATGCATTAAAAACCAAAGGATATTTAACTAAGCGCTTCATTAAAACCTTAACTGTTGAGGAAAAAACCTAACAAGTGAACTTCCTACTTGTATTTCCCTTACAAGTGCCTGTAGCAGACGTAATTAAGTGCTGAGCTGTTGTGTTACTGAGCTTTGATGCACCCGGTACTGTGGCTCTTGACCCGTGTAGCTGGCTGTCTTGTCAGAATGGTTGGCCTTAGCACAGCTGTGGTATGTGTCTACTTGGTCTGAAATGCCCTCTCTGAGGGTAGAAAGCTTAATGAAGATATTATCAATATACCATTATTTTTCCTTAGTTTCACCGGTCTTAATCATCCACTTCAGTGTGTTTAACCTTCTCGCTTTCAGACACTTCTAGATTGAAATCAATTGTTTGTGGGTCTGAAGAGAAGTTTTGGCAGGTTCATAGTGTGTTTAAAAAAAAAAAAATCAAAACCCAGTGTATCAGAAGCAGGTTATGCTCTCACAGAAAGGAGAAAGTTTGGAAGCTCTGTCTTTTGTTAGGTATTTCTTCTGGGACTGCTTATTATCCTGTATCAACATAAGTAGAAAGAGCTGTAAGACATGCAGCCGAGAGGTGTACACAGTTCTTGCTTTGGATGCTCCAAAGTGGCTTTTTTTTTTGGTATAAGCAGATCTTAAAATATTGCATGCTTTGCATCAGGGTTTAAGAAGGGTTTTGAGCTAGAGGAGATGGAAAAGTTGGCAGAACACTTCATACGAGATCACAATTTCAAGATCAGCTTCCTTCATTGAGCTGAAATTTATTGAACATGACCTTCAGGGGAGATTACAGTGCTTAGCTCTCTGATCAGACTGTTGTGGGAGAAGGGCATTGTAAAAACATCATGTTGTGAGTAAGGTAATTTATCTGAGTTCGAATCTCTGGCTACTTTTTTGTTAATGATATATTTAGGAATAGCTTGATATTAATTCAAAAAGCTTTTGATAACCTCTGTAGGAAATGATGGCTAACTGAGTTTCTGTAACTCCAAATGGTTTGTTTGAGAAGTTAGTTAGCAGTTGTCTTTTCTTAGACTGAAGTGTTTGCTTCTGGTTTGTAGACTAAATCTGCCTGCTATTCCTTTATTAGTTTTTCTAGAGGTATAATTTATGAAGCTTCTCTGGCCACTTCTTTCATTCTTTGTTTTATTTCAAATAGACATGTGCCTCTCAAAAGAATTTTATCCAGTACACCTGATGAGGAATCTCTGCCTTTTCTAAATGCCGTGGTTCTTAAATGCTGATAATGAATGATTTATGGGTTGTTCTACTGGGGGATGGGGTGGTGGGGAAGAACTGAAGAAGCTGATCATTGCAACTTGGTCACCTGGTTATTGCCCAAGTTGGGGGGTGGGGGAAAAGGTTTACGTTGTGCTTCTGTTGTGTTAATGGTGACATCCTGTAAATACAGACTCTTAAAATTTAATTCAATATTGCAGTTTACTGTATCTGTGTCATGTAAAATGCTATGAAAGAAGACTGAGTAGCTAATGTCTTGTCTGCAGTGGTTACACATTAATGTATAATCGCATTTTATACTATGACATTGATGTACATGTAGATGTCTAAATTGATTTTGGTAGTAAGTTAATAGAAATAGAAACTAGTACCACTGGATGAAGCATTATGAAAAATTGACCTGCTTTTGACCTTTTCTTTGATAGGTAAGTTCAGTTCTACGCTCTACGAGACAGGGGGCTGCGACATGTCGCTTGTGAACTTTGAGCCAGCTGCAAGAAGAGCATCCAACATCTGGTGTGTGTGAAGGCCAGTCAAGAGTGATGATTCTTGTCTTACTGCAACAAAATCTGATTTTAATTTTAGAAGGTTATTTAGTATGGACTGCAAAAAAAACCCAGTATAAAGTATTATCCATATACTTTTATTCTTGAAACCTATGTGACTTTTACTAGAAGATGACACTAACTGCAAACATAACCTTCACTTTAAAAAAAAAAAATCTCAGGAAATGAAGGCTACTGTTAGTTTAAGCAATAAATGTCCAAACTGAGAACTTAGCAAATGTATTTTTCTTTGGCTTGTAGAAAGTCTTTCTTAAGAGATTTAACCCAGGTTTTGGGAAAGTAGGTGGCTGTTGACCATAATGGGTGTTAACTTATTTGTAAGTAAACTTCCAATTGTGAAGCAAATGTAAACTGATAAATTTGTTCTCAAGTTCATAGATGGCATGAAACAATACATGGAAGTGTTAACATGCCCAAGGTTGAAATCTGACTTACAGTTGAAATAGCCAGCTACATACTGGAAAGTTCATCTGCTGTTGGAAAGATGCCCTTCTCTGAAGGGACAGGAGGCAGAAGAAAGGAAACCAACCGAAAACCTCGTGCCTCCTCCCCGCCCCCCGCCAATCCACTTCACTACATAGAACTGCTCTGAAGCTATTGTGTCATGTTGAATGCTACAAATTCCCACCATGTGTAGGTGGAATAGCTATTGGAATTATGGAGTAATGAATGTAAAAGCTCCCATCTTCAGATGGGGAAAAAAATGTGCAAGTACCTTTGGTATAGTTGAACTTTGACAAAAAGTTCTGTATTCCTTGCACAAAGCTGCCAATGCCTGCCTCTACTGCTTGCATGTTCCAGATGCAATGGCTTTGCGGATGGCTGCTGTTACGGCTGTTTGAGGGGACAAACTGACCACATCAAAATAATCAGATCTCAGCTTTATAGAGTACTTGCGTTTCAGACAAGTAAAATTTATGATAAAGAATGTTTTTATCTGAAGGCAAGGAACTGAAGGGAAGATGTGTAAATTGGGTACGAGTCTTACCACTGTGTGATTTAGGTGGAAAATGGACATCTCCCAAGCAACAAGTGATAGGAAAAGATGAGATAGCCTCAGGTTGTGCCAGGGGAGGTTTAGAAAGCATGTTGGGAAACACTTCTTCACTGAAATGGTTATCAGGCTTTGGAACGGGCTGCCCAGGGAAGTGGTTGAGTCACCATCCCTGGAGGGATTTGAGACGTGTGGACATGGCAGTGCTACGTTAATGGTTGGATGCAATGATCTTAAGGTTCTTTTCCAACCTTAATGATTCTGTGATCCAAAAGCCATCCAAAATTGGGGAAAAAAGCAGTGGTTGAATATGGAGTCTCATACAGTAAATATCTCCTCGTCTCTAATGAATGGAAATTGCAAAGTAATTCTGCTGTCCTTATCGGAGGTTTAAGTTTATTTAAAGTTAAGTTTTTTTCAGAAGCAATTTAAGATTGAGTAACTTGGTATGCTCATCTCAAGTATCCACTGGTTTTGGCAGTTTTGGGACCTCGGTAAAAACAGAACAGAATTAACAAGAAGTCTGTATGTGACCATATAGCGGACTGTGCACTCTTTTAGAGATGTGATGTGTTATAAACTGTTAGCTAACAAACATCTTTGGTTTTTTAAGTGGAATAACTACTATAATGACAATACTTGTTTAAAAAATTTAGGGACTAGGTGTTGAGAAAATTATAGCAAGGGTATGGTTAAAGAGTCTCCTGATTTACTACAGCTACAGAATATACCACAATACACAAGACAAAGTGGATACTTGTATTTAAAATATGTGATCAAAGGAAAAGCTTAAAGATTTTTAGGTTAAAAAATGCAAGCAGCCAAAATTAATTTGGGACACTAGAAAATTAGAATGGCCTGTTGAAATAAAATGTAGTTTTATAATCTGAAGTCTTTCCCCTGTTCTTATAGTGACACGGACTCTCACGTTTCGAGTTCTACCTCAGTTCGCTTTTATCCACATGATCTAGTAAGTTTTTCTTATTTATTTTTAAAGCATGCAAAAAATCTGAAGGATTTCCAATTTTATAGCACTGATTAATTTTCCTGTGTGATAATTCTTTGTTCTTAAGATGGATTTTTGCTTTGGAGTTTAAATGAAGATGAAGTATTTATTGTTGCAACGTTTTCATATATAAACACAAATTCGTCTTTCTGCCTAGTGCCTTAAAATGTAAATATAAATGGCTTATTCTGATATAAAGCATAGTGATTTTCTAAATCACGTGGAAATTGAATGTTCTCAGATACCTTGTAAAGTTTTTTTCCAGAAATAACTGGACAGCATGGACAGAGTTTTCCTTCTGTGCATTACTATGATTAGCAGGCAGCAGAAAGAATAAATTTTGTGTTTTGACCAAGAGAAACTTCAGTAATTTCCTTGAAAGGAGTTAAACCTACATGCTAAAACCTGTCATTGGAATCTCTTGTACAAAATTTTAGTTCATATGCAAGGAGCAACTTCCACTGTTTCATACTGCAAATAGCTTTAGAATGCCTTAGGGCTGTGAGCCCAAACCTTTTGTATTGTTGTCAAGTCCAGACATAGCTGTACTCTTAATTCTGAAGTCTGATATTGCTGTGTCGTGAAAACAGTGCAAATGGTCATGATTCTTAAGCTGGGAAACCAAAGTGAAGTATATTGAAGTACCTAATGACCTCATTAGGAGGGAATAATGAAATACAAATTCACCATTTGGCAGAGGTAGCAGGAGACTCCCATTTTCCTGACCATGCTTTTGATCAAGAATGTGCTCTTCAAACCTTATGTCTACTAGAGAAACTTGCTTTGCTTTCCACCACCTCCCTTGAAAATGTAGCCTTCAAAAAAGGCTGCGTTGTCTGTGATGTGCTCCTGGCTTGCCAGCGTGGTCCCCTTGGAGGGGAATGATTCTGTTTAGGGCAAGTTGTATTCGTAAAAGCTTAGCCCATGTGCCTACATGGGAATTTCCACTGAAGTTTAGCACTAGTGGCACAAATGTAATGTTATGGTGATTCTACCTTTTAAGAAACCAAGCTTTAAAAAGTTGTTAAAAAAGCACCTGTTCTCTGACATTGCTTAGCTTAGTATTGCTTACTTTCCACATACTTTTGGAAAGGGAGTGCTCCTGCTTTTTGTTTTTATTACTATTTTTCTGGTTGTGGGAAGGAGGAGCTAGCTGAGCATAACTACAGTACGCTGATGCTTTAAGGAGTTTACAAAAATGAGAAATCAAATGTTAAACTCAAGATAAATGTTAAAAAAACAAACCACCAAGCAAACACCAAACTATAATTTTGACATTTGAAGGTGACATGAGTATTGAAATTTTACTCTTTGCTTTAAAAGGTTATGAAGATTCTTCATTAAATAACATCTTAATTATGACATTGTTTAAGAATAAAGGGCAGCGCATTAAGATGTTTCTTGGCCTGTTAATGAAATTTATAAAGTGGGTTAGACAACACATACATACTCTAGTAACTTTATATTTAACCTTCTGAGTACTCTCCTTAAATGGCCCTTATGGTTCTTAGTATCACTGATTTCAAGAGAAATCTGGAGTTACAAACTACAAAAGTGAGAAATATAGTCAGTTATAAATAATACTTGACTAGTTAGGGTAGAACTTATTTTAGTTTGTTTCTGAGTATGTTCTGAATGTAGTGAATTTGAGTTTGACCACTGATGCATGCATATGTTGCTTTGTCATGCAAAACCAACCATTTGGCATGGGTGTGCATGCAGAGTAGCTGACTATAAAAAATGTGTTGTGCTTTATTTAGATTCAGACTTGGATTATTCTTTTAGTATATGTTACTCCTGATCACATATCAGTTTACTTGTCTTCAAATTTGAAGTTTTCAGGGTAAATGGGATAATATGCGTGGAGGATGTGTTCATACTTTATTTGAATTAAAGGCATATGTTAAAGTACCAAACAGTTGTGTTGTGTTATAGGCAGACTAGTATTGCTGCTGGTGCTATTCATTTGCCATGGTAAGGACAGGAGAAGTAAGTAGAAGCCTCAGAACTGACAAGTATTTGACATGGAACTTCTTAAAAGTGAAACAAAATAATTGTAGCAATTTTTTCCAAAGCAGTTTTCAGTAGAGTACAGTGATACAATAAAAATAAGCTTTTGTTAATACTGACTTTCTTTTAGCTTTCTCTTCCTCAGATCAGGTTAAACAGGCTGCTCACCATGGATACAGATCTGCTGGAGCAGCAAGATATTGACCTGAGCCCTGACCTTCAGGACCACGTGCAACCTCAAGAGGAAGCAGCTCAAAAAGTCAAGCAGTACTATCGCTTTTGGATCCTGCCCAAGCTTTGGATTAGCATCAATTTTGATAGATTAACTCTTCTGGCTTTATTTGATAGGTGAGATCCTCGTGTTACTAGACCTTACAGAGTTAAAGACTAAAACCTGGTAACTAAACTGTAATACAGGTAGAGGTATCCTTAAAGAATTGTTCTTATTTACTGTACTCTGAAAGATGAAAGAATAGTACAAAATGAAGGTGTCTTTTTCTAAATAATGAAGGCTACTCTCCCTTTTTCTCGAGCAATGCTAAAAAGAAAAGAAAAACCACAAATCAAAGAAACCAAGAACAAAACAAACAAAAACCCCCACCAACCACCCCTCACTTTGTGTGAGCGAGTCAGGCAATATGTATTTGAATGGTCAAAAAGAGTTTTGTTCCTGGTCTTTAAAGCTAGAAAGTAATGTTCTCCAAAAAAGTAATTGAAAGGGTATAGAACTTGGCATATATTCTACATTATTGCAGCAAGTAGAGAGAATCTACCTGCTGATTCAAAGCAGTTTTCCAAAGGGTCTTCTAATACTGTAACCTCTTGTCCTTGCTGCATTTACCTAGTGGAATAAGACAGAGGTGACCCCACCTCAGTTACCAGCTTTTGGAATATATAGAGTATTTAAATTTTAGGTGGTAAACTTCCTTGAGATAAGCAATGTAGTAATGATTTGTGTCCAGACAGAAATACTATTGCTGTTGTTCCTAAGCACTAGCAATATCATGTGGAATTCTCTTTATTCCACTAGACTTGTCTCAGCTAAGTGAGAGTATTTTTAGTTTCTTCATTACAAAATCATGATTGACAGGTTTTATACAGATAAGCTATCATGCACGTATTATTCACAGGCTGTAATCATCCCATGCAGGCCTTGAATATAGGTTTGTGTTACAGACCATGCTTCTGGTTGAGCATCTGAATTATTTCTGAAGTTATCTTCTGCTGTTTAAAGGTCAATTCCGTAAGATACTAATTACGTTCAGCTATCATTGAAATTCTGGTAGCTCCTAGCTGTGCAAAAAGGCAGTTTGCTAGTATATTCTATGCAAGTTCAAACCTATTCCTAACTATATTGCTACCAGCAGCACAGTTCTTGTTAAAACTTCTGACACTAACTGTTCCCTTACAGCTTTTTCCAGACATAGTTAGCTTTAAATTCTGTCCTCTTTTTTTTTTCTCTCTCTGTCTAATACAGGAATCGTGAGATCCTTGAAAACGTGTTAGCTGTCATCCTAGCTGTTCTAGTTGCATTTCTGGGCTCTGTACTTCTTATAGAGGGCTTTTTCAAGGATATTTGGGTCTTCCAGTTCTGCCTGGTAATAGCCAGTTGTCAGTACTCGCTGTTGAAGGTATTAAATTCAATGTTCACTTTCTGTAAACAATAGAAATTACTTTGGTTAGGCGTTGCAGTTTAGTTAGAACTTCAAGGAAAAAAAATGCATGTTTATCGTTTAAGAATAAATGAGTAAACTTCAGCTTTGTGGAAAGTTTGATAGGTGGTCATACAAGGTCACTTCACTAGAATGGTTCTGCGTATGTTTGATAAACAACCCTTTATTTGTTGTTCTCGTGCACTTTCTGTTTTCCAAAAGAAGCACATTCTTTGTAGTTGAAAATAGCCTACAAACTAAACTTCAAGTTTAATTGTGTTGGGGTGTTTTTTAGTGGATACACCCCAATGCGTTCATATTAAGCTATTATATCTAGTCATGTTTTTAATCAGAATCTTGGCTTTTATTGGCAATTGTTAATGCTAAGTTTTGTAATTTAAGAATGATTGTTTATTTCCTTATGATTAGACTATTACGGTGGAAATTAGACTTAAAAATTGAAGTGCATAACAGTTTTTGTTTAAAAAAAATGTAAAAGTTCTAAAAATGAGTGGTTTTTTTTCTTCAAGTTTGGCTGTAGACGTGCTCTTTGAACAGATTTTTCTGACGTAATGCATGGTCCTATTTAAAGGTTGTAGAATGTCTTCACAATCATAAAATTAATTGTATATATTATTAAGAGAACTTTAATCAAAAAGTGTGAATGAGGAGAGGTAAATGCACTTATCTGTAGATTGGGTAACTTTATATTTCCCATTTTGATTTCAGAGCGTTCAGCCAGATTCTTCTTCCCCTCGACATGTAAGTCCTGGGCACGTGCCACTGTACGAACCCTGCGGATGTAGAACTTCCACAGAGAATTGATCTTTCTGGTTCCATCTTTTAAGCATTCCTCTTACATGCCTTCTCATAAGGCACAAGAGGCTTATCTTGTTTTAGTGTGTGAGAAGGAAACCGATACTGTTTCTCCCCATATGCATTGTTTGTATGTAGCAAATCATGTCCTCCCTGCTTTAAGCCTAGGTTTGGCTGTAGAACTATATCATGATAGGTTTTTTTGGTAAATCTTTAGTATCCAAGCAGTTATACTGAGGAGTGTTCTTAATGTTGTAATTTGCTATGCTGGTATGAATTGATTCAGCTTTGAGGTTCTATTCTGGTCTTGTAGATCCATTTAGTTGTCCTAGTGTGCACACAGCCTTATTTTTTCACTCTAAGTGATTATGCAATGCTCTAGTGGACATTAACGTTTGAGCATGGAGATGTTAATGTGCTAGTGTGGCACAATACGTTTATACTCTATTGTGCACCTGCCAAATTGCCAAGACAAAATATTTTTGTCCTAAATTAGATGTGAAAAAGCATTATTCCTCTGCAGCAAGTCGTTCATATTACTTATTATCTAAAGTTATATGTTTTAATGAACACACAAATAGTCCTGCCCCTCACCCCACCCCAGCAGGAGCAGTATCTGAGTAATAAACTTTAATTGCTTTTTCTTCAAAACTGTTATACTTATGAAGCCCAGTCAGATTTTCTTTGGCATTTAGTATTGCAAAAAACATACTTTAGAATTTAGCAGAGAATAAGCATAAACATAGGTTAACCTAACTGTTGTGTCCTCTTTATGTCAAAGCCACAAAAAGATACATCCCTGCAAGGCAACGAATTAAGGATTTTATGAACAAAACTTAAGGTTGTATTGAGGTTGACAGCACATGAATTGATGACAATGATTAGTTTTGGTTCTGAAATTGTCTGTAACAGAAGAGTTAAGATTACTTTTGGTAATAATGAAACAAATGTGTGTGGGTTTTTTTTTTTTTTCTCCCCCACAGGGTCATAATCGTATCATAGCCTATAGTAGGCCTGTATATTTCTGTTTATGTTGTGGTCTTATTTGGCTGTTGGATTATGGCAGCAGAAACATATCTACAACGAGATTCAGGTTGTATGGAATGGCTTTCACCAACCCATTGCTGCTGCTGTCAGCCAGGGACTTAGTTATAGGTGAGTGGCTTTTTCATGGATTTGAATTGTTTGCTTCACCACAGTAGAAATTGATTTTGTTGGTTTTCCCCCACTCTACATTTTGTTAGGATGTTGCTGCGTCATCACCTTCTAAATGCAGTTCATTTTGTTTTCTTTGGAAAGAGTAGTTTTAGCTTTGAAGTTTATGGGGAAAATTCCCCCCTTCTATAGCTTTGCTGTAACAAAATGTAGAGATGTCAACTAATGTGGTGTCATAGGGTTAAAAAAAAAAACAAACAAAGCTTTTTAATTATCTGGTGTCATAGTCCTCATCCCTGAACCTTCTGTTCTTTCTTCTTAACTTGGACCTGGATATGCTACCCTGTGCTTGGACCTAGCTGCTCAGTAATTAAAGAAACATTTTGCTTTTGACTCTTCCGTACTCTGTCGAGAGGCTTGTGACAAATCAGTAGGACTTTTCTTAAATCAGGTGATTTGTGTTTAGCAATCAGGTAGAACAGTATAGGCACAGTATGGATTAAAACTTACTTGATGGGTCTCATCCCAGAACAGGCAGATCAGCAATGCCAAAAATGTAATTTTGGCCTGTATGAGGTACTTCCATTGTCTTGAGTAACATGGTGCATTCACAGTGCTGCTGGTGTTTAACATAGCTCCACAGTGCAAAAACTAACCACCACCCCCAACAAAAAAAACCCCAAACCATAGAATCATAGAATCAC